TAGGCAGGAGGATGAGGATGAGGGGGAGGAGGATGGGGAAGAGGTAGGCAGGAAGAGGAGGAAGAGGAGAAGGAGGAGGATGGGGAAGAGGTAGGCAGGAGGAGGAGGAGGAGGGGGAGGAGGTAGGCAGGAGGATGAGGATGAGGGGGAGGAGGATGGGGAAGAGGTAGGCAGGAAGAGGAGGAAGAGGAGAAGGAGGAGGATGGGGAAGAGGTAGGCAGGAGGAGGAGGAGGATGATGATGATGTAGGCAGGAGGGGGAGGAGGAGGAGGGGGAGGTCGTGGTAGGCAGGTGGAGGAGCAGGAGGAAGAGCGTTAGGGAGGAGAATGTTCAAGGAAGAGACGATGTATGGCAGAGAATAGAGCTAGGGAGGCGATGAAGGAGGAAAGGGGAGGCGGATGGAGGAGTAGGAGGAAGAGGAGGAGGACAGAGGATGTAGGGAGAATGAGAAGGAAGAGGATAAGGGGTGGGGAGGAGAAGAATAGTCGAAGGAAAGGAGGAGGTGTGGAGAAGAGTAGAGATAAAGACGAGTGGTGGGAGGAGGAAGGGGAAGGCAGATAGATGAAGTAGGGAGGAGGATGGATGCTGACGTGGGAAGGAAGAGAACAAGAGGTAGAGAAAGTGGAGGTGGTTCTCATATTAGACCTGCATGTAATTGCATGGAGAAAGGCTCGCGTGGATCACGTGTGTTCACTTTAATTATGTTAAATTATGTATTACATGGTTGGGATGTGTCATGCTTACTAATTGGCCGATACACTTGCAGACCGCGAGCTGAAAATTTCATGGCTATCATGTTTTATGCATGCATTGATTGAGCACCACATGTGTGCATATCCTTTTTTTAAAGATTAATATCCTGTGAATCACGTTATACGTGACGCAATACGTGCGGTGATTGATTGTATATTTGTACCTCCTGTTGCATTGACTTGTTTCCGATCATTATCTTGTCGCTACACTGCGCACAAAATTCAAACATATGAATAACTTAAAAATGTTAATAACGAATAAAATATTGATGTTACCAGCATGGCAGTAGGTCTGTGTTTGCTTACATGTGATACGGGAGCCTATGTGACTTTACTGTACTTACTGTAAGTTAATAGCAGAGAATGTCTCTACCTTTCCTGTCCTTACTATAAGTTAAGAACAGAGAACGTGTCTACCTTTCCTGTCCTTACTGTAAGTTTAGAGCAGGGAATGTGTCTACCTTTCCTGTCCTTACTGTAAGTTAAGAACAGAGAACGTGTCTACCTTTCCTGTCCTTACTGTAAGTTTAGAGCAGGGAACGTGTCTACCATTTCCTGTCTATACCTTTCCTGTCCTTACTGTAAGTTAAGAACATTGTCTCTGATAGCCTCGCGCGCGTGTCTCGTCTGCTGCAGGACGACGTGCCGATGGCGCAGCGTAAGCGCTTCACGCGCGTCGAGATGGCGCGCGTGCTCATGGAGCGCAACCAGTACAAGGAGCGGCTGATGGAGCTGCAGGAGGCCGTCAGGTGGACGGAGATGATACGCGCCTCCAAGCTGGACCCGACGCTCGAGACCAAGCGCAAGTCGTCCATCTGGAAGTTGTAAGTGTCGTCAGTCGATCGATCGAACGAACGAGCGAGCGAACGTCGAGCTGGTTTATTGGGTAGCTAGTGAGTTTATGAGCTAGTTTCTCTCATGGGTGGTCTCTTTCGGAGCTAGTTTCTCTCATGGGTGGTCTCTTTCGGAGCTAGTTTCTCTCATGGGTAGTCTCTTTCGGAGCTAGTTTCTCTCATGGGTAGTCTCTTTCGGAGCTAGTTTCTCTCATGGGTAGTCTCTTTCGGAGCTAGTTTCTCTCATGG